TGAGAGCTGTGGATGGTACCACGTGTTTATAGGCTTATAGCCTCGGCTTAGGGAGCTGACGCAGGTGGATTGGGAGATTGAGGAGGACAGAGTGGGCTGCAGGGTGAAACCCTTTCTCAAAACAACATCGATAACAAACAACAAAAGCATCTATGATAGAAAATGTATAAAGGTAAGTGAATAAATATCTCAAGTGTTTACAACGTGTTCTATCTGTGTAATGGCATGAGAGATTTCCAAAGAAAGGGGGAAAGAGAAAGCAAAAGCAAATCAACTAATTCAAATCTGAAGTATGCTGCTCTAAAGTAAAACTTAGAACCAAGAACTTTGTTCTGAGTTTCTAAAGAACCTAAGTAAAGGGAAATATTTATAGATTTTATGATTCCCTCTGTCAAGTGGAAGGAATCACATTTGGGCATCAAGAAAAAAATTCTGATCCCGTGCTCTAAAGTTTAAATTATTTTGTTGAGAGTGAGAGAGAGAGAGAAAAGGGGAGGGAGGCAGGGAGAATGTGGTGGGAGTGGAACAGGAGTGTGAGGATTGGCCCATAGATCACACATGTACATTCCGCACCCATCATAACGTGTGCATTTTATATTACACACTTATGCGTGTAGAGGCCAGGGACAAGGTCAGCTTTTAGAGCTCAGATGTTCCCTGCTTTGTTCTTAGGGCCAGGGTCTCTCGTTGACCTGTCACTCGGCAAGTAGGCTGTGCTGGCTGGCCAGCGAGCTGTAGGGAAATCTGCCTGTCCAGTGTGCTCCACAGCACTGGAATTATTAGCGTGTGTTCCCTCGTACAAGATTTTTATTATATTTGCTACCAAATCAAACATGAATCTTTGTGTTTGTGTGGCAAACACGTTGCTTCCTGAACTATCACTCCATCCCTAAATTCTTTATTTATGAACCTTACATTTTGTTTTTAAGACAAGTTCTCCCTAGTATGCCACTCTAGCTGTCCTAGAACACATTATGTAGACCAGGCTGGCCTTGAACTCACAGAGATCCTCTTGCCTCTGTCTTCCAAGTGCTGGGATTAAAGGCACATGCTCCCATGTCTCGCCCATTATATTTTATTTTTATCACGGCTTCATGGCCTAGTTTACTGTACGGTACATGAACTTGGAAGATGTGTATCCATGAATTTCTCTTTATTTGTGTATTTATAACAATAAACAACTGAGATAAAGCAAAGTATTTTGAACTTTCATTTTGTTTTAGTTTTTAAAGTCTGATGTAGCTCAGAATGACCTCAAACTCCCTAAATAACCTCAGAATCTAGGACAAACTTGAACTTCTTATCCCCCTCCTCCACTCCCAAGTGCTGGGATTATAGGCGTATGTTACGACGTCTTGTGTATGTAAAGCTAGAGACCCAATCCAGGGCTTCATGCTAGGCAAACTGCCCACCAACCAAACTAAATCTCCATACCTTACATTTGGTCTTATTTCTTTCCCAGGAAGGTGTTTGTTTGTTTGTATGGGAGGTTGTCTACTTGTTTTCATTTTAGGAGTTTTAAATGTTCATCGTATAGATTTCAAGAATCAAACACTCTGAAGTTCTATCAAGAAGTGTTTGTATGTCTTATATTCTTTGTGGTTCCAGACCTATTCATCTATAGCTTAAAATCTTTCCTTCTATCGTATGAGGCTCTTCCGGGGAGGGAGGGGGGAGACGTTTTTAATAGGCCTGTATTCTCTTGACATTTCTCAGGATTGGTTTCTTAAAGTGTAAAACCAGAAGTGCAGTCCTTTTCCCATGGAACATCTATTTGAGGAGCCAGGGGAAATCAAGCCGCGTGTGAGCCAGGAACACAGTGGCATTTGTCTTTGTGCACACATAGGTCTGTAGCTCCAATGCCTGTCACACTGGCTTGACACATGCAGACACTCAGTGCACATTGATTGTGTCAGGGGACAATTTCCAAAGAGTGAGGAACACGACTATGGGGACTGGAGAGATGGAGCATGACTGTGTGGGGTCTAGAGAGAGGGCGCAGTGTCTAAGAGCATGTATACCTCTGGCAGAGGACCTGAGTTTGGTTCCTAGAACCCACACCAAGCTGCTCACAGCCACTTGTAACTTCAGCTCCAGGGAACCCGATATCTCTGGCCTCCTTGGGCACCCACACTCTCATGTACATACCTACATGTATGCATGCATGAGCGTGCGTGCACACACACACACACACTAAAAATAAAAATATTTTCATAAAAGATAAAATCCTAACTTTGTAATAATGTAAAGTAAGCATTAGAAAAATTTACTGGATTCATTAATGAAGTAACAGAAGGTTCTAAAGCAGAGATTATGCTAGGTTTCATGTCAGCTTGACACAAACTGGGTCATCTGGGAAGAGGGAAACTCAATTGAGAAAATGCCACTATCAGATTGGCCCTGGGTAGGTGGTTCTGAGGGATATATAAGAAATCAGACTGAGCAAGCGGGTCAGCAGCACTCTGCTGGGGTCTCCGCTTCAGTTCCCACCTCCAGGTTTCTGCCTTGAGTCCCTGCCCTGACTTCCCTCATTGATGGAGCGTGACCTGAGAGCTGCAAACTGAAATAAACCCTTTCACCTCCAAGTGACTTTTGGGCACGGTGTTTTCACACAGCAATCGAAACCCTGAGACGGGCATTGAAAGAAGGCTGAGTGCTGCACGAATTCTAATTGGTCTTAATAATGGAAACTTGCGTCAGCCATGGGGGTGAAAGTTGAAGGACGGTCAGAGAAGCATGCAGCCAGCCACTAGGAAGGCCTTTTCCCTCTACCGCATCCTCAGACTGAACGGGCGATCCTGTCTCCACCAACCCTCACACTGCCTGCTTCATACCGCATCCTCAGACTGCATCCTCAGACTGCATCCTCAGACTGACTGGCTGCTGCTCAGGCTGCTGCCTCAGACTGCATCTGAGCTCCTGTCTCCTCCTGCCTTATATTCCTCTCTCTGCCCAACCATATCACTCCTCTCTCCACAGCGCTAGTGCTGGGATTAAAGGTGTGTGACTCCCCAGTACTGGGATTAAGGAGTGAGCCAACACTGCCCAGCTGTTTCTCTTTTAGACTGGCTCAATTTCGTGCAGTGCATGGTAGCCTTGAACTCACAGAGGTCCATCAGCCTCTGTCTCCTGAGTGCTGAGATTAAAAGTGTGCACCACCACCACCCGGCCTCTATAGTTAACTAGTGGTTTAGCTATGCGCTGGTTTTTAGGCAAGCTTTATTTGTTAGGTTACAAACAAAATATCACTACAGCTGATGCGAATGGCCGCATTACATAGATTTTTTTTTTTTTTGGTTTAATGATTACTGTCATCTGGAAAGCACCGGACTTTGATTTTCTTCTGTACAGCAATCATGCTTTTCTTCTTGCTTTAAACCCATCTGCATCGCTGTCAGTATTTTCAACCTTGACACCCTCCTTGGCAGGACGTTTAAAGTCTTATCAATAGTAAAATTAAGCCATAAATTATTGTTAATGATATTAGAGAATTAAAACTTATTTGTTATGTCAGAAAAATGAAAAGATATTTTCTTCCTGATTTCTAAAACTAGAAACAAGCTGGGCAGTGATGGTGCATGTCTTTAATCCCGGCAGTCGGGAGGCAGAGGCAGGAGGATCTCTGTGAGTTCGAGGCAGCCTGGACTGCAGGGCAAGTTCCAGGACAGGCTCCAAAGCTACAGAGAAACTCTGTCTTGAAAAACCATAAATAAATACAAATAAATAAATAAAACCAGAAATGATTGATATCTTGCTTATTATGTGATTAATATTATATGATGCCAGGGCTGGAGAGATGGCTCAGAGGTTAAGAGCATTGACTACTCCTACAGAGGTTGTGAGTTCAATTCCCAGCAACCACATGGTGGCTCACAACCATCTGTAATGAGATCTGGTGCCCTCTTCTGGCCTGCAGGCAAACATACAGACAGAATGCTGTATACATAATAAATAAAATAAAATAAAATTATATAATGCCAAGCCAAGTTACATTAAGTTACTTTGAGTCTATGTTTATTTGTATTTGGACACAGTACATATTCAACAGATAATTATGAAATGAATCTAAAGTCCTTTATTTATTTATTTATTTATTTGAAGACAAGGTCTTACTGTGTAGTTCTACTGGCCTTCTACTTGCTATGTAGGCGGAACTGGCTTTGGAACTCACTGAGATATGCCTGCCTCTGTTTTGAGAAAATTGGGGTTAAAGGCGTGTGCTCAGCAGAGAATGAAATTGTTTTAAAATCAGAACTTATTTGTCTATCCTGGTCCACATAATTAACAGCCACTGTATTACTTGCTCTTGCTGATGAAGGTATAATGGAGTAGTGGGTGAATGAACCGCAGAATCAAACCAACATAGTGTGAATCTCAACTCTGCAATCTACAACTGTAGATTAAGAGGAATCTACAACTTCCTCTTAAACCCTTAACTTCCTGAACCATTTAGCCCCTTTAAGCCCTACTTTTCCTTCAGTAGCATGGGGATCATGACCTTGGTCAATATCCTGTATTTACCCACATGTAAAGAATGGCTACAGCTTGCACCTGCCTCATTTGCAATGCAATGGCACGATGAAGCCTAGAGCACGCTTTTGTTTTTTAAGAAGGAAGAATTTGCTGTGCTTTAGGCAAAATGATGAAAAGAAATTACAAATAATGAAATATCAAGATTGCGAGCCCAGGTACCAAACAGATCTGATAAAGTGGTATTGGAAATGCCTGCTGTCTAAGAAGGGCAAGTACAAAATGTGCTTTAGATCTTTCTCTTTGTGTCTTGGTATCACCCCGTGTAAAACGGTTCTTTAAGCCTCAGTCATTGTGACGTCATTGCAGAGTTGAGCGGTTACTGCATCATGCTAAACTGTGGGGAAGCGCTCACTCTTTAAGCTCAATCATTGTAACGTCATTGCAGAGCTGAATGAGGTTGCTGCGTCTTGTTAAACTGTGGGGGAGCGCTAACTGACCTGGGTTTACCGTCTCTCTGTACGACACAGGTGGTGAAATTTACCAAATCCTTTGAACTGATGTCCCCAAAGTGCAGTGCCGATGCTGAGAACAGGTAAGACCCCTGGGCTTCATGCTTGTCTTCTGATGCGCTGTGGTCCTTGGCGTTTGCAGTGTTGGATGATTCTCTGCGGACAGGAGTTGCCCTTTCTCTAAGCCATCAAGTGCAGCCATTTATCACTCTGTGGAATGTCAGAATTTAAATAAAAGCTATTACTGAACAGTGAGTGTATATAGGATACATCTCCTTCGTCATGTGTTTTTAATACAGACTTTTAAAACTAGGGATGGTGGTACTAGACTCTTAGCCTAGCTGCTTGGGAGGCTGAGCCAGGAAAACCCCAAATCCAAGACACACCATGGCTGCAGAGGTTGAACAAGGCCAGCTTGGGAAACTCAGTGAGATCCTGTCTCAAAACAAATCCTGAGAAGAGAGCTGAGGGTCTAGTTCAGTAATAAAGCACTTTCTGGAGAGTGCATGAAGTCTCTGGGTTCACTGTCAGGACCACAAAAAGGAAGGAAGGAAGGAAGGAAGGAAGGAAGGAAGGAAGGAAGGAAG